AGAGAGAGAGAGAGAGAGAGAGAGAGAGAGAGAGAGAGAGAGAGAGAGAGAGAGACTTGGAACCGAGGGGATAGGCCGATCGTACAAGGCAGCGCGATGGTCTCAACGGATGCTGGCGCAGTGTGGTATCTGCCCAGCGCTCTAGATGTGAAAGAGAAGAGATTCAACTAAGCGCGGGTAATCGGCGGAAGTAACTATGACTCTTTTGAGGTAGCCAATGCCTCGTCATCTAATTAGTGACGTGCATGAATGGACTAATGAGGTTCCCACTGTCCCTATCTACCATCCTGCGAAACCACAGCCAAGGGAACGGGCTTGGAAGAATCGGAGGGGAAAAAAAACCCTGTTGACCTTGACTGCAGGTGTCAGACTCTATACATCCAGGCAGAATGTGGTTCTCGCTCCGTGCTCGGGACGCCAAAGTGAGGAGATTCAATCAAGGGCGGATGAACGAAGGACAGGCGCGCGCCAGCGGGCGGGCGCAGGAGCGCCGAGTCACAGACCGACTTAAAAGCTCGCCCTGACTGGATTGGACAGGATTAGACCAGATGCGGACCAGTTCAGATCAGACCGGGCTCAAAACGGACCAGACCAGCCCAGATCAGACCCGGACCAGGCCATATTAGACCAGAGCATTTCAGACCAAACAGGGCTCAGAACAGACCACACTAGCCAGACCAGGCCGGGCCAGACCAGATCAGACAAAGATCAGACTAGATTATACATGACCAGAGCAGGCGAGACCGCTTCAGATCAGACCGAACCACGCCTGGCCAAACCAGATCAGATCAGACCTGACCCAGTTCAGACCGAACCAGATCAGACCAGACCCGGGACAAACCGGACGGAAGGGCAGACCAGACTAGCCAGGATCACACCAGAACCAGACCAGACTACATCAGACCGGTTCAGACCGAACTGAGCTGGAACAGACCACACGAGAGCAGGCTGCATCAGACCGGATCAGACGAGACTGGCAGGCCATATCAGGGGCCGGACTAGACCGGCCAACGCAGATCGGACCCGGAACAGACACAGACCAGACCAGACCACACTGGACCCGAACAAACCAGACCAGACCGAATCAGACCCGACGGTACCAGATCAGACCAGTTCAGGCCAGTTCAGACTTGACTAGACAGCATCAGAACAGACCAGATCAGACTCGGCCAGGCCGCATCAGACCTGGACGGACGAGATCAGAACAGATCAAACCAACCGGACCAGACCAGACCAGACTAGATCTAGACCCAGGACAGGTCATAGTCGCGCACCCGGGTGAACCAAGACATCGCCTCTCCGACAAGTGTCGAGCCTATTTGCCGTACTAAGCCTGTTTCATGACGGGGGCCGGGTTCCGTTGGGACTCAGACGGATTTTACAGACTCGTGCTATGGGCGAGACCCAGGGTCTGCTCGCAGTGCGAACTATCATACTATTTTGAACTGAATCAAAACTTTCATTTCGATCATTTCTACGAATTGTTTCGTCGTCAGCAGTTTTCTGCCTTATATTGCGGTGTTAGCATATTTTGGTAATACTGACGAGGTTGATTTCTTGCAGGTTACAGGAGCCCCGATCGACCCTTCCGTAGGTGACAGACACGGTGCGAGGTATAGGGTTCGATCGGCGTGCCGACAGAGCCCTTCTACCGGTCGACAGTGGCGCCGTTGTCGGGGAAGGCTGCCTCTCGGGACTTCGGTCCGCCTGTAACCGCGGGAACGCGAGAGGATCAGGAGAGGAGTACGACTAGAGTGGAGCGGGCGACGAGCAATCAGCCAAGCAGCGATCAGCATGCCCCGGTGAAACGTCGATTTTTGCAATGCTCGTGATATTCTTGATTCCTGCATTTGGTGATCTCATGCGTTCTTTCCTTCTTCCCTTCTTGTGATTGTGATCGAGCGAGATAATTCTGTTTTTTTTTTTTTTTCCTACCCTTTGGTCAGTCTACCCCGATCTGACTCCAAGAGAGAGAATTGTAAGCAGGGGAAGAACTGGAGGGACTGAAGGGGAGGGGAGAAGCGCCCCGGATCGCAAGGAGTTGGGGGAAATAGACAGGTTAGTTGATCCGATTGCTAGCGGGACGTCTGATTAGGACACTACAAAGTGTCGGGGGAAAGCGTCCCGGGTAAATCCATGTCTGAGGTGGGCCGAGTATAGACATGGTGCCGGATAGGATTGCACGAGGGAGATACTGCCGTTCCGTGAGCGTGTGACTTCGTTCCGACCCAATGACGCACGAGTTGGCCGACTCGCGTCAAGGGATTGCTCTCGGGATCGGTAGGCCAGCGATGATGGCGACATGGGATTAGCCTCTCTTTCGACATGAGGGTAGGAGGAGATATGCAAGAGGGCGGTTCTCTTCTAGGCCTATTGACGTCGTCAGGGATATAAGCGGGTCCAGTGGAGGCCTGTTGTGGGGATTTATGAGCTCATCAGCCGGGTTGGGCTACACAGCGTCCGAGAGAGTAACCTTCCATCTCTTTGTTGATTAGTAAGGTTAATGGAGGGTTCAAAAGGGAGCGCCGGGAAGTTATGGAGAAGGCTTATCTTTCGGAGATGAGGAGTGAGTTTAATATTCCTAAGAGAAAGATGGCAGTGAAGAATTCTGATGGAGGAGAAAGGATGACGAACGTAGAAGGAGAAATTTGGTGGAAAGAACGATATGAGGTACCATGCAGACCGAGTCCATATGATATGGCGTGCGGGCCGTTGTGCAGTCCTTTGTTTTACCAACCACCGTATTTCGAACAGCCTCTATGTTTCACGAGACATCGGGTGAAAGAGTTCCTGAATGACTGGGAAGTTTATGCCTTGAGAGCGGGATGGACTGATCGGGAAGCGATAAAGGGATTCATTAATCATACCGATCTCAAACTAGACAAAGACGGGCGTGCTGCTATACCCGAGGATTGAAAGTGGGTAACTTTCAGAGAACGATTGTCTCGAACCTTTGCTTGCGACGATATCTTGTACTCGATCGAGGATTTAAAGGAGATGAAGAAGGAGGAAGGAGAGACGTTAGTGGCGTTTGCGAGACGCTTTGAGACGATATATGAACCATTGATAGAAAATGAGTTTCTCGATGAGATAGAATGATGCAGTATATTCATGGGGACTCTACCTATCAAGAGAAGAGAATTTGTTATGGAGAACACGCCCACTAAAAGGATGTCGTTCGCTCAGACAAAGGCATTGGCTTTGCAGACTGGGGGACTGGATGCCAAAGCCTATCTAGGTGGGGTGTTGGAGAAACTAGGGAAAGGAGTACCCGAAAGTCATTTAGAAAAACAATTCGGTGATGAGGATGGAAGAGAGTTCATGTCGCCTGACCAAAGTAAAGGAAGTAGAGATAGTGGGGAATGGAAAGGAGGAAATCGTGGCAACTGGAAGAAGAGTGACGGTAGGGGATTTCGAGATAGGCGTTGGAGAAGTAGAGAAGAAAAGGAAGAACGATGAAGATCACATAGGGAAGGATGAGAAACGGTCGAGGAGATAGAATCCCTAAGGGTTGAATGAGAGAGGATAAAGAAAATGAAAAATGTCTCACCTTGGAGGAGCGAGGAACCGTAAAAGATTCCCTTACAACAAGAGCCCCGGGGCAGACGAGAAAAAAACTCTGAGAAAACCATCGAGCTGAACGAGTGGAGAAAGATCGAGTGTGCAAATGACAAGAAAGATATATCATGCGGACCTTCTACGAAGATGAATACTGACATTAATGCAGGAACAACGCAGGAGGTGATTCCTGGAAAAATTTGGGTGCCGAGTATCAGGTTTGAGGAAAACCGGTATACAGAAGAGAATGAGGAGGAAGATACACTCTGCCGAACTTCTACGGAAATGAATATTGACTTTAAAGTGAGGACAGCGGAAGAGCCAGAGAAGGGAGAGTTTTGGGTATCAAGTCTCCGGTTTGAGGAGGAGCCGGACCCGAATGATAGTTTGAAGGTTGGGGTTTTCAATATTCGGTTCGAGAGTTGTGAGGAGGATTCTGATGCAACTCTAGTGTGTGCTAAGAAAGTGAGTGAGGAATCAAATGAAAATGAAGCCGATAATACTAGCCTTGATAATAAAGTCTCGTCGAGGGGCGAAGGACCGAAGGTTATCCAGGAAAATTTGGTAAACCAAACCACGACAATGGAGGTGGAAGCAATGGAGGAAGAATGCGAAGACTCGAAAGGTGCAGGGGATACCCAGAGCGAGAGGATAGAGGATCCGGATATGAGCTATGGGCTTGCCCAACTGCTTGAGATCATCGAACGGGACATGAGTTGTGAGCTTCAAGTTGCCCAACAGTGTGAGACCATCCAGGCAGATATCAACTACGATCTTGCTCAACTGTTTGAGACCGTCGAGCCAGATGTGAGCTATGAGCTTGCTCAACTGTTTGAGACCGTCGAACAGGACGTCGGCTACGATCTTTCCCAACTGTTTGAGATCATCGATATATCTGAAAACGTAGCGGAGAATTGTCTTGCGGTAACAGCAAGCCCGAATCCGATAGCTATGAATGATATTGAGGACTTCGGAATGAGTCATTACACATTGATAAGTTAGTACAATGTGATGGGTGTTGGAGGAGAAATATTTGAAAGTCGTTTGATAGGACAAGAAGGTGAGAATCGACTCGTATCTGGCCAAGACGGTAATGAAAGGGCCATAGTAGAAGTGAAGTCTGTCAAGGATGCTGACGATCCCAAAAGCACGTTGATGAGACTTGAGAGATTGTCAGAACTTGGGAAGGGATCCGTTATTGACGTGGGAAGATCCGAGGGCAAAGATTTGGTCAGGACTTAAAATTGGGTCGCGGGATTGCAATTTGCGATCGAGGCACGAGACGGGAGAATAGACGTGTCTCTCTCTTTTCTCTTGCTGCTCATTCTTGCGTTCGCGTATGCTCGTACTTACCACTGCTGGTCCTACTGGTATGACTTTAGCCTTGGCCTGTTACTTTTCATGACTACGTATCTCGTTACGTCTTACCTCAATGATGGAACGAGGGGTGAACAATGCTCTTTAGTAGAGATAGGGGTTGATTCGAAGCCATCGTGGGACGACGTTTTTGTAGAACTTTCCCTTACTCCCTTGATAGCCTCGTTGATTGAACGGAGGAGAAGGGGAAGAAGGACAAGAGCGCTCGAGAACGGGGGAGGTAGACCTCGGCAGTCCAAAAGCATTATATCGAAAGGAGGAGACCTTTTAGTATTTATTAAACTGGTTAAATCAACTAAGCGTGAGAGCGGAATTAGATTTTACTTCCACAAGTGGCGAGACAAAATCAAAGTCTGTTGGAGCCTGGGAATGCTGGAGTGGTCGAGAGAACAAGCAAAAGATAAAAAGCGGAAAGCAAAAAGAAACGACGGTGGGAAAAAAGGTAGAAAAAGGAAAAGAAAGAAAGAATATCATGCGAGGAATGCGTTTTTGGGGGTTGATCGGGTATGGATTAGGTGTCGACCGACTAATTTCTTCCCCCTCGATATTAATCAGACTTTCTTAAATTCGGTGGTTCGCCGGGGACGTCGAGAATGGGGGGGGGGCTGCTGTCGGGCGGCTCAAGCCATGAGAGTGACCAGGCTCATCCGCGGCGGCACTGCATAGAGCGTCGTGGGAACCGAGTTGAGGGTATCGAAGAGCTGCGTTGGCTTCGGCACAACGAACCGGGATAGGATGCAGGCCACGTTCACTCGCATTATCAGGGAGAGAGAGAGGGAGTGAAGGGAATTCGCGGGCGCACCTGGGCGCGTTCGTGCACCAGGTTTGTTCGGTTCCCGAGTACGAGGAAGGAGTTGCCAACGAGGAGGAAGAAGCCACGTGTGGGAAAGAAGAAGCTGCACGCCGGAAAGAAGCAGCTGCGCGCGGGAAAGACGAAGCTGCGCGCGGGAGGGGGATAGCAACGCGGAGCAAGCGTGACCATAGACCGTGCAGTGAGCTAAACGGCGCGGGAGTATGAAGTCACAAGCAGGGCAAGAGGTTGCGCGGGTGAGGATTGGGGTAGTGCAAAATCAGTGAGTGTGTGTGTGTGTGAGAGAGAGAGAGGGGAGGGGTGCATGAGCTCGACCGCGAAGATGAGCGTGTCCGGGCGCAGGAAGGAGGAGCGTGAATCTGGCCTTTGCGTCGGTCCGGATTCATGCGCTCCACAATAACGAGCGCGCGGGAGCGGAAAGTGAGCGCAAGAGAGAGAGAGAGAGAGAGAGAGAGAGAGAGAGAGAGAGAGAGAGAGAGAGAGAGAGAGAGAGAGAGAGAGAGAGAG